ATAGTTATCTTATCTCCTTTCAAGATCAGAAACCCCAATATCCCTATTTAAGGTTCTAAACCTCAAACTATTTTCAACTATCAAATTGATCAGGTTTAATAAAGAAAATAACAAATACGCACAAGGTAAGATAAAGAAATTTATATAAACGAGTAAAATAATTTAAATCAATCCGTCATAACAAGGGTTCACATAGGGTTTGTGACCCTAACTACAATAAAAGAACTTAGCCAGACATAGTCATATCTGACATAAACAAATATTCAAAAGAAAGCATAAAAACTATAATTACTGGAAAGAATGGAGAAGAATTCTTGTTCTTCAGTCCTCTACTGCTTGCTCCGAGTTGTGAATTGGTTTCTTTGTTGTGCTCCCAAGCTCCTTATTTATAACCACCGGCATTGAGCCCATCCAAGAGTTTGTATTTGATTTAAACTTTGTTTCCTTTTTTCATGTAACAACCTTGGAGATTTGATTGATAAATTAGAATTTCAAATCTTTATTGTATCTTGATTCAATCTTATCACAAATCATCTAATCTTATCTCTAATTTGGATAGAGATCTGATTGCTGAATCAAAAACTTAATTTTTAAATTTTTTTCTTTTCCAAAATTGCCCTATTGCAAAACACGGGATCCGAGAATTCGCAAACTGACGCTCTCAGCGTCAAATTCACGCTTCAAGCGTGAACGCTTCTGTCCGAAAAATTCCTTCCACGCTTTGAGCGTTGATTTTGATTTTGAAAAATCCTCGTTTTGCTCCAGTTTGTTTGCTTTTTCCTACAAAATTAGCATAAAATCAGTATTCAATCCTTGATTAAGATTTTGACAAATTAACAGTGATTCTTGCTCTTTTTCTCAAGATTTCATCAACATTCTTTCTCTTTTTGGCTCAGATTTCCGTATATGCTAGGCGCATATCAAACAATTCCCAGATTAGGACTTTGCTGTCCTCAGCAATGTAATATATTCAAGTTATCAGCAAAGAATAATTCAGTGAAAACATGGAACACAACATCTTAAGAATTCATACTGCTATGCATGTATAACTCTTTGTTAAAAACTCCCAACAATGCTTTTCAGTTATGTCAAGAATTAAAACTCCAGCATGAATATTCCTCATCAGTTATAAATATACTCTCATTACGCTCAGTGTTTGAGGGTTTCACACTTATTCCATCAGTGTAGCTGTAATTCCATAGGCTTGAACTTATTCTCAATTCCTAAGAATGAGGAATCCATTTGTCATGCACAGACTGATCAAAAGGTCTTTGATAGGTTGTAACTTGGCCTGGTTTGGGGGTGAGAATCATTTGGTCGGAAGCTTTATTGGAAAGATTGAAATACTGATTTTAACAATACTTCCTTCTCTTCTTCATTATGCCTCATTTTACAAACTTGGGATTCTTTTCCTTTATTTGCTACCTTTTCCTTTCCTTGTTTGCAGATGTTTTCTTTCTTTTCTCTTTTGAGCTGCAATCCTTCTTCTTTTCCTTGTTCAACTACTTAACTTTTCCTTTTGAGAAGTACTTTGATTTTTCTTCTTTTGTTCAGCGTTCAATCTCTCAAGGTGTGTAAAGAGGAACAGGATTAAGTAATTTTTATCAGGTTGAAATGAACTGGTTTAAGGCTCAAAGTGGCTTAACAATGGAAATTCTTATGGGTAGGCTATTTGGCTCTAAGTTAATAAGAATAAAAATGCCCTTATCATTTTAGTTATGCATGACAAGCCAAAGAAACAGTTCAAGTTCTAGAATCTACTACAGTGAGGCCTCTCTAAAATAAAATTCTGTTTAGGCTCAAATCCTCACAGTTAAAATCCAAACTAGAATCTCAATTCATTGTTTCACATCAAGCATTATCAAACATTTTAGCAAAACAGTTATAAAAACGAGCAGTCATCATTCTCAGATTAAAACAAGTAATTGCTCACAGTTATAATGCTTCATCCAACTCAATCTAATTACTTACTGAGTAAGCTCAGAACATTCTGGAACTGCTTTTTTAGGAATAATCTAATTTTTTTTTCTTTTCTGAAAATAAAAATTGAATCTACCTCAAAACAGCAAATAAAATAAAAAATTCAAATAAAAATTGAAGGTTAAAATATCTCCCCTTTTTAGAAAATTTTCTGTTTAGACCGTTCTTTCCGTGGTGTACTTCTTAACAGGTCTCGCATACATCATGCCATGCGACAATTCCCAGATTAGAATGTTGTTGTCCTCAGCAACAACTATACTAGTCGGAAAGAAATGAAGTGCATAATCATCAGCAGTCCTCTATAGCAGCATCATCATCCTCATCATCAGCAACAACATCATCCGGAACGGCCTGTGATGCTGCCTCTGCTGGAGATGGAGGTGGTTGAAACTGTGGTCTGAAACTCGCAGTGTCAATCCCGCGATCACTGCATAGCCTCTCCATCATCTCCCTCAGGTACCTCTGCTCGATCCTCATCTCTTGTATCTGAACCATAAGGGAATCTGCAGGAGGTGCAGCTACGGGCTCTGCATCATGCTCAGGTGCAGGTGGTGATGCTGGAGGTGCTCCACCTGCTGCACGGGCTGCCTTCCAAAGAGCATTCCGACTAGATTCTGCGCTCATAGTAGCAAAATTTGTCTGTGTGAGGTCTGTTTTAACCTGCACATCACGGGGCTCATCATCAGGAATCTCCACTCCAGCCGCTTGACAGAGCTTCTGTATCAAAGAACTGTGAGCAAGGTGGATCTCAGCCTTCTTCTGAGTGATGATGTATACTATTCTGTCAGACAAAGTATCAGCAATATGGAGATTTTCTGTACCCATAAGGGTATATAACAGCACTGCTCTCTCAACATTGACATCACTTAAATTAGTAGATGCAATGATTGTGGAATTGATGAAAGTGTGCCAGAACATTGCTTCTGGATTTAGATCCTCCCTTTTTAACTTTTCTGGCACGTGTGGCTGCCCACCCTTTGATTTCCACTTAGAATGAGGATGAGTGATAGCAGCTCGGACTCTCTCTGCAATTTCAGGCATGTCTTCCCAGTACAAATCTTTTTCAGCAGTAGGTTGCAATCTATTAAATGTCCGTATAGAGTGGCATGGCTTGCTACGGTCATATGTGGTCCCCAGGAATTGCTCTATTGCGTCAGAGGAGAAAGAGATCTCATGTCCTCTCACCCAGCTCTTCCTAGTTTCATCCACTGTCTCTTGGTCAGCATTGGCACAAAATTCTTTCAGAATTGTGCTGGAGCTTGGTGCAGCAAATCCCACTAAATTCCCCCATTTTCTCCTCTTCACTGTTCGTTTGACTGGGCAATCATCATTTAGGAAGGAACTGATTCGCCTTTCTGGTATGATTTTCTTGGGGCCAAACCATTTGTAAAACCTGTCTTGAGCCTCATGTGATAAGAACCTGGTACTATCAAAAACAGATGAAGAAGAGGTCCGAGCCCTTTTTGTGCCAGCAGCACGACTTGCTCCAGTTTTCTTGCCAGAACTAGTTCCTTTTGTGGTGATCTGCTTGCCTTTCTTTCCCTGCACTCAGAAAAGTAACACAAAAACAGGGAAACTCATGCATGTCAAGATTTAACAATGAAAACCAGTCATGAAATTCCCAGAATTATTTTTCACAATGGTTCTTTTGGTATCTTTGATCATCAGAATACTTATCCAAAATAGAAGTGCACTGGATCAATAGAGTATGCTAAAAAAAATATTACATGCTTACACAGAATATCATAAGCATGGCCTGTAATTTGAACATTTGAATTCCAATGATCATCAATCAGACTTAAAGCATTGCTGACATGAATATTTTCAAACTACTGAAATAATCTAATAAAACCCAATTTAGCATTTAGTGCACTCATGATCAGGCCAACTCAGATACAAAACGTGATGCTCCCAATTTCAGATTTGTCTTGGCAATGAAAACAACACAAGTAATATGTAATATGCTCAATATGAGAGGCATACACTGATAATAAGAAACTGTAACAATCACTCAATCGAATGCATGGCAGACATTTGTCTAAGCAAATTTTTCACACAAAAATCACCATGACAATCGATTACCGGTGGCACAATTTTTAGCTCGACAAGCACATATGCATTCCTTACCATCATATCGTACTTCTTTATCAGGCAAATCATCGAACAAGTAGAGTGCATGTACGTAACTAATATTTGACCCTTATATGCTACTCCAAATAAATTTCTATCATGAGTATTTTCAGAACAAGCAACAATATTCAAGACCCAATACCAACTCATGCATAAGGAAGTAGTAGAGTTGCAACGATACCTTATCTCCTGCCATGATTGCTTAGTGACCGACCAAAAATCAGAACCCAAAATTGATGTGAGAGTGATATACGGGAAGAAGACAAAGTGCTTGCTGTGTTTGTGGTGGAAGATTGGTGAGGGAAGAGGAGAGGAGAATGTTGGTCGCGGTGGTGGCTGGGGCAGAGGTAGGAAATCGAGAGAGAGAGAGAGAGAGAGAGAGAATTGAGAAAAAGATTATGGTGGGGGCTCGTGGTGGTTTGCACGGTGAGAGAGAAGAGAGAGAAGAAAGAAATGGGAGAAAGGGAAATGGGGGGGGGGGGAAATTAGGGTTCAGTTCTTTTTAAACTCTGATTTTGGCTCCCGCGCTCTCAGCGTGGGTTTGACGCTGTGGGCGTGGGAGCTTCGGGTAAAATTTTTCCTTTCCACGCTCTCAGCGTGGGTTCCCACGCTTTGAGCGTGAGACCTTTTTCCAAATTTTCCCACGCTGTAAGCGTCAAATTGACGCTTCAAGCGTGGAAGCTACTGTTGATTTGAACATTCCACGCTACTAGCGTGGATTCCACGCTGAGAGCGTGGACTTATTTCTCACTGCACCTTCTTTTTGTATTTTCTCTGTTTTCTTGACTTAAATAAAAACAAAAATTTAAAAACTACTAAAATGAAAATTCTTCCACTGGGTTGCCTCCCATCTAGCGCTTGTTTAACGTCACGAGCCTGACAGTAACTGTTTAAGGTTCAGGTGCAACTAAAGAGACAGAAATTGTGTCTCTAGGTGTTTGTTCTCCATAATAGATTTTCAATCTATTTCCATTGACCTTGAAAGGTCTGTCCTCTTTGAGAGGGGAGATTTCTACTGTCCCATATGGGAAGACTGTCTTCACAATAAAAGGACCAGACCAACGAGATTTAAGTTTACCTGGAAACAACCTCAGTCGAGAGTTGTACAATAATACCTGTTGTCCTGGTTCAAACTCTTTGTGCTTGATTTTGCTATCATGCCACAGCTTAGTCTTCTCCTTGTAAATCCTTGCACTTTCATATGCAGTTCTTCTGAACTCATCTAGCTCATTTAACTGAAGTAATCTTTTCTCCCGAGCTCCTGATGGTTCAAAATTCAAAAACTTTGTGGCCCATAAGGCCTTGTACTCCAACTCCACAGGCAAATGACAAGCTTTGCCATACACCAATTGATACGGTGACATGCCTATGGGGGTTTTGAATGCAGTTCTGTATGCCCACAGTGCATCGTCAAGCTTCTTAGCCCAATCCTTCCGAGAGTTTCCCACTGTCTTTTCTTAGATTCTCTTTATTTCTCTGTTTGAAACTTCAACTTGTCCACTGGTTTGTGGATGGTATGGTGTAGTAACTCTGTGTTTGACTCCATATTTAGCAAGTAAGCTCTCAAAGTGCCTGTTACAGAAGTGAGTACCTCCGTCACTGATAATGGCTCGGGGTACTCCAAACCTTGTGAAAATGTTCTTCCTCAAGAAATTTACCACTGATATAGCATCATTAGTAGGAAGGGCAATTGCCTCAACCCACTTGGATACATAGTCAACAGCCACCAGTATGTACAGGTTGGAATAAGACGAGGGAAATGGGCCCATGAAATCAATGCCCCACACGTCAAACAACTCTACCTCCAATATACTATTCAGAGGCATCTCATCCTTGCGAGATATGTTGCCTGCTCGCTGACACTTGTCACATTTTTCGACAAATTCTCTGGCGTCTTTGATCAGTGTTGGCCAGTAGTAACCAATGACCTCCATATTCAGAAGAGTGGCAGTGCCACAAGATCTGGGTCGTCTCAAACTCAGGAACACATCTACGAATGATTCCGTCAGCACATTGAAAGTATAGATATGGATCATCCCAGAAGTACCTCTTTAAATCCCGCAGAAATTTCTTTTGTTGTTGCCCAGTAAGATTAGCAGGTAACTCCTTCACAACTTTGTAATTGGCAAAGTCTGCGAACCATGGAGGGACGTGAATAGACATCACTTTTTCATCAGGAAAATAGTCGTTGATTTCTTTGTCAGGACTATCTTGAAGCTCTTTCT